AAACACTTTAATAATGTAATGCGCATGCTCGTTCAAACACTCCAGTGTTTTAATGAGCATGCGCATTTCATTATTAATTGAAGTGTTTATTATCCCTTCGTTCTTTCTCGCTCACATACGTGCTTACTCTTTTCTTCTTATACTCCCACAAGTCATTAAACAGGCGTATATGACAAATATAATTTATAAATCAGGTATCACATAACCTTAAAAAATTCTATTATTAAAGAAATTATTGAAACGTAAAGTATGGGTTTTAATTGACTATATCACTAAGTACTATTTTCTTTGGTTCTAAAAGATTTACCTGCTTTTCTTTAAAAAATTTTAATACGTTGCTTAATTTTCGGAAAGCATCATTCGCTGCCCTTTCAATTCTTCCCAAGCGTCTTTCCAAATGCTAGATAGATAGATAGATAGATAGATAGATAGATAGATAGATAGATAGATAGATAGATAATTCTTTAATTTAATCATATAGGATTTCATGGTAAACAATATATTTTAGGAAAATTTATCTTTTTCCTTTTTAATAGCGAAGAATAAATTCTTAGGATTTCTTACTTTTGAGCATGCAACATACAACTGGCCATGCGTAAATATTTATTTCTGGAACCAAATTCTAACTTTTTGAAGCATTTGGCCTTGTGATTTGTTTATAGTTCTTGCAAACGCAAGGCGAACTGGAAACTGGATTCTTGTATAGAAAAACTTATAGAAAAGATATGCAAAAAATAATATTGCATTTTTATTAAATTAGTATTCGTTAATCATTAAATTGTTTTTAAAACATTGGTAGTATTTCGTATGTTAAATAATGAAACTTTATTGTACTAAGTAAAACCAGCAGCACTTTGTACCCCCTTTGCTGTTTGCATCTCTCCACAAAATTTAGTTTCGATCGGTCAATATATGTCTATTTTATACGGTGTAACGTACAAACAGAATAACGGAAGTTACAGAATTTTATATATATATAGATAGGTTGTATGTTGGTGTATCGTTTGTCTGTAACTTCAGAATATATAATCGAAATAAAAATGGCGGCGCCCATGGGAAGTTGTCGTTAGTACCTTTATCGGCGTTTGTTTCTAATAAATGACAATTTCCTGTCTTTACTAAAAGTGGGCCAGCACAGCCAAGCAACAAGGCTATAAGAATGTAGCAGTGAAAGTATTAATTAATACCTTAAATTATTGCTAGATCACAGATTACTCTCAGATGGCTATATTATACGTTTTTTTATAGATATAAATATTTAGTAAACGCTCTGTTTATAATAAACAGTATTAACGACATTTACCGGCCTGAATGTCCGAGAAATTTTCATAGAAAATATGCGTCCTCTGACAGGAATCGAACCTGTATCCTATACGGAACCGTCATATAGCCGGACGTGCTTTACCGATTTAGCCACAGGGGAGCGTTTCCGTTAGTAAGGTCTATCGGACATTCAGGCCGGTAAACGTCTTTAATACTGTTTATTATAAACAGAGCATTTACTTAAATATTTGTTTCCTATCAAAAAAAGAACGTATAAACATAAAACTATTGTATATAAAAAAATGCGTTTTGATCGCAAGTTTCGATTAGTGTAATGTAAAATAATTTGCATCTACGACATTTCATACTTTTAGTATATTGGAAACGAAAGGTCATGAGATACGGTATTTTTAATGAGAGAAAACAGAAAATAAAGGCATCTAAAATAATGTATTTTAGACTAAGAGATTTACGTCTTTTCAGGAGATAGAAATATTCAAATTATTAGGGGCGATATGAATTTGGATAACATATATAATAAGTCTTAGAACGAAATGAGATAACATTCCCGATGTAGTTAACTACATAAGATCCCAATAAAATACATGTATCACATAAGGAAAAAAGTTATGACACACACACACACACACACATATATATATATATATATATATATATATATATATATATATATATATATATATATATATATGTGTGTGTCTGTGTGTGTGTGTGCAGTTTAATATATACAGCCCCCAAAAAAAAAAAAAAAATTGACATAATTTAAAATGTGAATATCTGAATAACTACATGTCCCAGGCAAACTAAATTAAATAAGCTTCATGTTGAACAATAAAAGATCTACAGGGTGTCCATAAAGTTCGTGTGCACTTTAAAAAATTTATAACTTTATTTCTATTTGCGATAGAAATAATTTGTAAAAAGGATTAGAAAGAAGTAAATCAATATTTTTTAAGGTTTTATGGAAGTTTCCACATGTTCTCTAATATTAGCAATACAAAGGGTAATACGATTTTGCACTTCACGGAAAACATTTGCCAACTGATTTACAGTAATGCCTAAAATCACATTAGTTATTTTAGCTATACTAAACACTAGGTGCATTAAACTTTATAACATTTTTTACAGATTATTTCTATCGCAAATACAAATAAAGTTATACATTTTTTAAAGTGCACACGAAATTTATAGACACCCTCTATTTATCAAAATAGATGTAGATTTTTATAACCGATTTCACAAAGCTTCACAAATGTTCAATACGCGCACCAACTGTGACACAACAGACGTCAAGTCGGAAGCCCAGCTCCTGCCAAACACGCTGTAGCATGTCTTGCGTAACATTCTCCAACAACTCAGTGATTCTCTGCTTAAGTTCCTCTACGCTTGTAAGTAGAGGGTTTATATAAACCTGTCTTTTTGCATAGTCACATAGAAAAAAATCACAAAGTGTCAAGTTAAGTGAACGTTATAGCCGTTTCAACGGCCTATTGTCATCATCACTGGCATGCCTGATCCATCTTCCTCGTAGAATAGATAAGTCCACAGAGTCAACTTAGTTTTTGCACATTTTGTTAAAATTTGACTTCATTTGAGTGAGAATTGATATGTTATTAAATTAAAAAATGATGCCAAAAATTTGGGTCCACTGTTTGGATTTAATAAGTTTTATAATTTTTCTGGGTTAAATAACTGCTACTAATCTGGGATTCTGAAACTTTTTAATCCATTAATGCATGACGTTTTTAGAGAGTTGTTACCTAAAATTTTAAATCTGCCAGCCATAACATTAGCCTATGTCTCAACATACAACAAAAACAATCCAGAAATATTCCCAGAAATCACAAAAAGTCTAGACTTACTTAGCAAGAATAATAAACTGAATAATATACTAAAAACAACCAAAATAGTTAAAAGCAAACGCCAATCTCAAAACCTAAAACACATATTAACCTCATCTAAATTTAACCAACACACAATACAGGGAGTCACAAAATGCAACAAAAAAAGATGTGGGGTTTGTGACATCATTATAGAAGGAAACTCCTACACTTTTGAAAACCCCCAAAAAACATTCACAATAAATAAAAACTTAAACTGCAACCCCAAAAATGTAATTTATGTACTTAAATGCACAAAATGTAAGAAGTCATATATGGGCATCAGCCAACAACAGGGTCTCCCTACACGAAAGCAACATAAAATTGCCAGACAACAGAAAACTTTTTGTATCATAACGCATCTTCAAATGTAACCAGGGTAAATTTAATATCATGCCGATATATCAAACAGACAATTATTCGTACGTACAAATACAAGAAAAAAACATTATAAACAAATTTAAACCCGAACTAAATAGGTCATAACCCCACACACAAAAGCACACAACATGCACACAAGGTGACCAAATACAGTGATAAAATCACTCACAGACATGAACGCACGCTCACATGAATGCACACTCACATACGGGAGACACGAAGATATATATATATATATATATATTATATATACACACACATATATATATACGCATGTTGACAAAACAGGGGAACTACTCACGAGCACGCACAGAAACCCCATACAACTTTGGAAGTACGTGGGTATGTATGTACGTATGTGTGTGTATGTGTATACTGGTTCCATGTAGCTTGAGAAGTGTGTGTGTGTGTGTGTATGTACTGATTCCTTGTGGTCGGACGGTGTGTATGTGTGTATGTATGTGTGTGTGTGTACAAATGAGTTTACTAATTCCTCATAGTAAGACAGTATATGTATGGAGGGGAAATATACGCCCGCATATATACACGCATGCTGACAGAAACACACGAAAATGGAAACAGATCTAAGAACACACAGGGGTCAGTAAAACATTAAAAGATAAAATGCCGATAAGTAATTCATCATTTCTCTTGGACCAACCTTAATTGTTTTATGACCCTTCGCGCAGAACTCTTCATTGCCAATTCAAGAAAGACATTCGGATTACTAACACAAAAACAGAGAATGTCTCATATCGAGAATATTTAACATTGAAAAACATAAGGAAAAAATTAATTATTTTTAATAATATGTGGAAATCTCCGCTTTTACCTGAAGATGGTAACGAGACCAGAAACGCGTGTAGTAAAATTATGGAAAATAAAGCATAATATTTTTTTCTAAAAAATAAACAAAAAAACAAAAAAAAAAACACATTACAACCAAAAACGTTTGCGGCACCTCTCTTCTCTTCTTTTTAATATACATACTTTTCTCTCGTTGGAACCACTACAACCTCTTCCTTTTATATATATATATATATATATATATATATATATATATATATAAATATATATATATATGCTGTGAACATTCAATAATATTATTAGTACAGACACCAAAAAATAAGATTATTAAAAGATACCAAAAAATAATAAGATTATTAGTATAGATACCAAAAAATTCAACTTTATCACTGACTATCAGATTAGATCAGTTGTAACGGCATTCGGTTGAAAACTTTCAAAATAAATGAATTCAATATATGGATGATTTTTATATATATTTTTATATGCAGAACAACATAGTCCTGAAAATAAAATAAATTATATTTAAATGATTAATTGTAGCATGTGTATGTGTGTGTGTGTGTGTGATATATCACATATAATGCGGTTCGATTAAATAAAAAGTCGGTTTGCCACGCGATTCAATCTCCTGAAACGGGAATCTAGATGCCCGTGTTGCTACGGTATCCTATGGTTTGGTGAGCAGATGAGGGAGACTGTCGTACTTTTAAAATTGACCGCGTAAACCAAACATTGGTTAAGTGTTTACAGTGTGACCATAACAAAAAGCTTAATGACCAGCTGAAAAGAAAAAATAGCTTGCAAATTTGGCGAATCTAGCGCCATACATCCGGTACCGATCAACATAATCGCAGCCAGCAGTCTGGTTAACGAGGCTTGACCAGTGTCCGCGGACTGGAATTTGCAAAGGCGAAAGGTCTCGCTTGGCTAGAGACCTTAATGCATTTCAAAGCAGTTCGCCAGCCGTCGTAAATTGTATGAAGCCTGCTGATTGGTCGATCAGGTCACGTGTTCGTAAGTGCCGAGAAGATTAAAAAAAGATCAATCACTGTTTTTAAGTACGCCCAGCTGTCATGTTGAATGTTGGTTCGTGATGTGCAGAGGTTGATTAGAAAAATAAAAACATCAGAAAGAGTAAGAAAAAGCAGAAGAATGCAGATATCTATTTATTTATTCAATTCAGACATTCATCTCGGGCAAAAGGTCATAGTTTTCCTTTTTTTTTTTTTTTATTTGTGTTACGTCAGTATCCCAAAGAATGGATATGATGAATTTTAATATTTTTCGCTTGGCCAGCTAAGAAAATGGCGCTGCTACAACGTTTTTACAAAGTTACACAGAGGTTGTAAAAACATTTTTTTGCAGACTTCTCAAAATATTTGTCGATATCTCTGAGATTTGGTATTATGATTACTTGCATTATTTACATTATTCGGATAAAGTGGATAAAGACCTTGGTTAGATGCAGTGACTAGAACCAAAGAGTTGCGAGTTCAATACCAGGCCACAGCAGTGGTGAACCAAAACAAGGAAAGTTGAGTTGAAGATACAAAGGATAGAAGGTTTTTGTGGGGGGGACTTGATCACCCGCGAGATCACGCAAAAGAGACGCGACATTAAAAGGGGAAGTTTCACACAATATCTTAGCTGAATGCCATGGAAGACAAAATAAACACATTTCTTCAATATCTGTCTATATTTCTAAGATGAGGTATTATGATTACTTGCATTATTTACATTATTCGGGCGGCTATCCTAAACTTCATTGCCATATTCACAACCTTTCGGCCGTTGTACCCTCCGGCCTTTATGTCTGTCTCTCTATACATCTGTCTATATCTCTAAGATGAGGTATTATGATTAATTGCATTATTTACATTATTCGGACTGCTATCTTCATCGTCATTGCCATACTCACAACGTTTCGGCCTCTATATCCCTGAGATGAGGTATCATGATTACTTGCATTATTTACATTATTCATACTGTTATTCTCATCTTCATTGACATATTCACAACATTCCGGCCGTTGTACGCCCTGGCCTTCTTTAGGTGATTGGAATTTCGAACCGAGCCCTTTATTTCATCCACCTGGGTAGTTTTTTTCCAGTTCCACGTGCTATGCCTCTGCCGGATGTCTCAGATATTTTCCCTTTAACTCAACTCTCCAAGTTTTGATTCACCACTACTGTAGCCTGGAATTGAACTCACAACTCCTCCTTAAGCACACATGGCCCAGTGAATGAAAACGTTGGTTAGATCCAGTGACTAGACCCAAAGAGTTTATGTGGATAAGAGTTCGAATAATGTAAATAATGCAAGTTTTCACAACATATCCGCATCGTTGCTTTGTAAAGTTACATTAATAGAAAATGGATAATGAATGTCAGGATGCTATTGAAACGTGCATTCATCATGTAATTCAGTGATACTAAAAGAAAAATACGAAAAGAAATCTTATACCTTGTATAGATATTGTTAAATGAGGACAGACTATTCTGATATTTGATGTGTTCGGAACATTTCAGCTACAGTAATAGATAGCGGCTCGGACTAAGGAATCGGAGAGCCGAGTTCGAAATCCACTCGAATCCATTACATTCACTTACGTGCTAATACCCATTGGGAAAGGTATGTATCCTCTTCTCCTCCCAGCTATAGATAAATAGCAGGACAGACCAGGTTCTATAGCCTTGGATGGCAACTGGTCTACCAGAGAAAGAAATGGCAACGTACCGCGAAAAAAAAAAAACTGCCTCGTCAGTCATGTATCGAAAAGATACATGATCGCCTAAGCGTGTATCACACATGGCACATAACGGACTGACTTCGCAACATGTTTAATGTTGCGAAGTACATTACGTTAGTAACCTCGGATTCTTGAAAATTGTTAGTCCTCTGGGGCGTTTACACATCCAAACACATAAATGCTTATAGTGTTACAATTATGAAAAATATTGTCGTTCTGCTGAAACAAAATAACAATACAAGCGTTCACGTTTACGATATACATTAAATCAAAACCTGTACTGAAGATATAATTATTCACTGAAATGAACATCATAAATTCGTTGCACAGAGAAATATGAATATATGAATTTTGTTATTATTCATTTTATGACAACACACTAAGTTGATGCACATTATCACCAAAAAGAAACAAGAGAAAATTGGAGATAAATTCGACAATACTTGAACTCGGGTCCACGCCTCAAATACTTGTTCTTTGTGGGCATCGGCTTTACCGCTGAGGACATTGAAGATTGACAGCATGTCGTCTGTATGTTTCATAGCGCGATATAAAAGAAGATAAGATGAAAAAGATCTCTCCCCCAGCTAACAAAATAGAGTAGTTGCTATGTTTCTGCAACGTTGCAGAGATGTAAAAGCGTTTCTGTTGACTCCCTCACAACGTGCCAGCAACGATAACTTGTAACGTTACAAATAAGTTGTGTTGCAACGTTACATTAACAGAAAATGGATAAGGAATTCCAGAAAGATATTAGAACGTGCATTTATCATCTAAATTCCGAATTTAAAAAGAAATATACGAAAAGAAATTTCATAATTTCGAAAATAACGAAAACGAAAATTTGTTTTCATATCGTTAAATGAAAAATAATTGTTCTGGTGTCATTTGATCAGTGAGGAAACTTTTAGCTAGAACACGTTAGCATAAAGTTGTGACTAAGTCGGGAATGATCGCTCAGTTTGGGTTCAGTAAAATAGTTCAATGCAATGTTGTAGTATATCTCCGCACTATAACATGCTTTCCGTATTAGCTGAGGGTGTTTACCTGGGTTTGAACTTTGATATCACCTTATTATGATGACTTTGATGGGTAACAACTGAATTTCAAATTCAGGTAAGGTTTGATTTTAAAAGGAAATTTTTTTTAAAAGTCAATGCGTATTTACTTTGGTAAATAATTCTTACGAAATGTTATCTATTTCTTTTATTAATTATTTTTATAAGTACTTTTAACACACACGGGCTCCAGCATAAATGTAGTACTGAGAGTGGCTGTAGAGTGACGTCTAGGTTTAAAAAGAAGGATTTGATCTTCGGCAAGATGGGTCGGTGCGTTCAACCAAGCTGTTCTAAAGGAAAAGAAACGTGAGTTCGAATCTCACCGGGAGCTTATCTTGCTTCCGATCATCTGCGGTGACGTGATTTTCCCCTGTTTTTTTTAACAAATATTTTCAAGGCAATTGCTCTCCTGAACTTTTTTTCCCCTGCTACCCTGACTACGGGAATTTAAGTGTGCTACTAAATTAGCATCTAGGTATCACCGTTTTACTATAGAACTAGATGCAACCGCCACTTCTACTCTAACAGATTCTTTTCTCGCACTTCCCACCTGTGGAACTTCCTAACGATTTCTTGCTTCCCTGATGACTACAATCTTCAAAAATTCAAATGCAACGTCAATCGCCATATTTATTTTCTCCAACTCTTTCTTTTTTGTCTTTTCCCCAATCCTCTCCATTCTCAGTCAAAAGACGAACATTGTGAGTAGTTACGGTAGGTAGGAAGTTATGGAGAGCCATGATTGCCCAAGTGCTTTAGAGTTACGGCAAATACAAGAAGAAGCATTCAAAATAACTCAGTCTAAACTTTCTTATCTATCTGAGTCTATTCCTTCTTATCTATTTCAGTCTATTCTTCATATCCAATTGTATCTATCTATCTATCTATCTATCGTAGTTTATTCTTCTTATCTATCTCAGCGTATTCTTCTCCTTATCTATCTATCTATCTATCTATCTATCTATCTATCTATCTATCTATCTATTTCAGTCTATTCTTCTGATCTATCCATCTATCTCAGTCTGTTTTTCTTATCTATCTATTTCAGTTTATTCTTCTTATCTCTTTCAGTCTATTCTTCCTCTCTATCTATCTATCTATTTTGTACGCAATTTTATGGCTTCAACTACTAATATTTTGTGCATACTTGTATACTTTCAGGGCAAACGTATGTTTAGATATATAGTTTGTAGATGATAGAATGTATCTCTGATAATGTTACTTTAAAAATGTATTTTTATGCTTTAGTGTTGTATTTATTGGCTTAAAAATCGACTACAACTGGTCATTTTGCTATAAAAATGTAAATAAATAAAATAAATATATTGCTGGTATTTTTATTATATTTTATTTATTCTTATGTTTTTAATACTTTCTTAGTGAACCACCAAACTAAAATCAAGACACTATTTACCCATAGATGGGACCCTAAAAGGTGCTTCCACTTCAGGTCAGAGGGTGTGTGTGGGAATAACAGTAATAAAGTGGCAGCACAGTATGTGGAATCAGTTACTTAATGGAGGGTAAAAGTTGATTTTTTCCTCAACATCTTTAGCGATGGATTGTATACATGTGTTCCACTTGATGCCTGGGTTGTGCATTTAAGATCCTTCCTAGGAGAAGGTAGATATGACAGAAATGTGCGTCGAAAGAAAGAGGAAGAGTGCTTGTAAGAGGAAGACATTGGAAGACTGGACGACTTGAGCAAAGAAATTGAAGGATTGGAAATTCGAAAAAGAATCGAAACTGTCTAAACAGTAGCAGTATTAAAATCACAGAACGATGAGGGGACTTCAACAATAGCGAAATATGTCTAATCTATTTAAGTTCCTCTGGGGAGTATAATGCCACATTCTCACCCCCACTAGGTGTTGCCGCTGTGTGTTCCGTCAAAAGTAGGTTTTACGGGGGTGAATTTGTCAGCCCATGTTCAGACGGTTTTGAATTCAAAATTTTCCTTCTAGATTGATTTCCAACTGAAGCTAAAGATCCGGTCTGCTCTGCAATTTAACACGTAGGTAAAAAGAGATTAAATTTGGGTAAAAGTGAACAATATGAACTTGGTCGGAATTTGAACCCGGTACGGCGTTTTCACTTTCCACACCGATTAACGCTACGCCACGGCCAAGAATGCTGCTATTTAGTAATAATAACCGAAAACGACAGACTAATGTGTCAGGATTTTGCGTCCAATTTTTGAATCTGGCCAATTCTGTTGAGTCTGACACAATTTTCCCTTTTCAAATGAAAACACTTATTTTCAGCTACTTTTTCTTTCATCTGTTTAAACTCACAACACTTAAAACCTTTTAGTTACACACTGCAGCCGGCAACGTTAGCGACATCATCACGATTATTATTTCAATCTCAAGTGTTGGGATATCACAGTTACAACTAATATGACATCCTGGAATAAAGTGAGTGGATTTTAATGTGGTTAAATCGCTTGACATGTCTAGTTTTAAAATCTTTGTCTCTTTTCGTCTTTGTCGTTTACAGCTCATAAAAGAGCCACCACCCTTTTGTATACAATGTGAGATGACGTAAGCGACACTATGGCACCGCCCTCTGTAAGCAGTACAACTGCTAAGATTACTGCGCCTGCGCGGAATCTAGGAGAGTTTACGAGATGACGTCACCTGCAGTTGCGCGCCTCAGATCAAGTGAATTTCACATTTTTGGTCCGTAATGTGGGTCATACCTATTATTTTCTGATCAAATTTGTTGGCAGAGAAAAGCTAACCTTTGGACCTGACATTTAACAGTCGGATGCCATAATTCCTTTTTGCTCTCTCCCTTCATTGCTATTTTCTATCTTTCTATCTTTTCTCTTTTTTGTCGTTTTTATGCAAGATATGGGGTACTCAGAATAAAAGATGCGACAATTAGGTGTTTTTAGATAACAGTCATTTTTCTCGCTCTAATCAGTGCACATCCGTATATTTAAGGTCTTTTGTGTTTACTAAGTAGAATTTTTGTGTTGACACTTGAATCCATAAATCTTGTACTTACGTTTCCTCATACGATACACACATATAATTATATATAACAAATAAATATATAATAAAAACGTTTACCTCATAAATATACACATTTAAATGTACATCTATATATAATTGGTTGAAATATACTTGTTTGGAATTTTAGTAAACATTTATTTTAATAAACATAAAAAATAGATTCTGACACGCAGACACACACACACACACACACACACACACACACACACACACACACACACACACACACACACATATATATATATATATATATATATATGAGGTCTGATCAAAAAGTATCCCGACTGTTGGTATCGGGTTTAAAATACTCAGAGTAAAGCCGCTTGTCCCAGCTTGACTTTGAAGACGCTCGCGCATGCACACTAAATTTTAATGTTCTCGCCCACTTCCGTTGTTTATAGCGGTTTTTGGAAGTAAACTGTGTACAGTATATGTCTATATTTCTGAGATGAGGTATTATGTACACTATTTAAATTATTCGGACTATTGTCCTCATCTTTGTCGCCGTATTTATTACAACGTTTCGGCCGTTGTACGCTCTCGCCTTCTTCAGGTGGTTGGAATGTCGAACTGAACCCTTTATTTTGCTCAATGGGGTAGACTGTTCTAGTTCCACGTGACATGTTTAATAGATGACAGTTATCAGTTATCTCCTGCTAATACCCCCTCTCCGAGTCCTCCACTGCCATAACCGGGTTTTGAACTCTTTGGGTCTTGTCACTGGATCTAACCAACGCCTTTATCCCCTCTGCCATGTGTCCTTCTAGATTGGTTTCCAACTGAGGCTAGTGATCCAGTCTGCTCTGCAATTTAACACGTTGGAAAGGGGAATTAAAAGGACATAACTGATAACTGACATCCATTAAACATGGCACGTGGAACTAGAACACTATATCCCAGTGAGCGAAATAAAGGTTTGAGTTTGACATTCCAACCACCTGAAGAAGGTCGGAGCGTACAACGGCCGAAACGTTGTAATAAATATGGCGACAAAGATGAGGACAATAGTCCGAATAATGTAAATAGTGTGTACAGTATAGTCGACTCACTGCACCAAAGAGCTTCCATCAGTGACCATGACTTGTGCAGCATTTTTTGGCCGAGGAAGATATTCTACAGATCTCGTCCCTTGCGACATTTTCCTCTTAAAAAAATCAAATCCCATGTGAAAGGAACATGATTTCAAGACATCAGGGAAATCCATGAGAATTCTATGCCAAAAGAGGAATTCCAAGAATGCTTTCATCAATGAAAACGACGCTGGATAACTATTCCAAAAGAGATTAAATGCCAAATTGATATGTACTGTAGTTGTAAATATATATATATATATATATATATATATATATATATATATATATATATATATATATATATATATATATATTTACTCTGCATCTCCTTTGTCCCTAGTTTTCTCCAGTGACGATGAACAGTTGCACTTTCAATGGGGTTTCATGCTTTGAATGTCTATCGGGTTTCAAGTTCCTTCCAGACCTCAATTTCACCAGACCATAAGTTCTCTCCAGACCTCAAGATATCACCAGAACTCAATTTTCCTCCAGACCTCTAGATATCTTCAGATCCATTGTTAAAGATTTTGCAAAAATGTGATTTCCATCTATCTTTCCAGAAAGTACTCGACTCTTTTTGTCCTTCTTTAATAACGACAAGACACAGATTAGACCAAAAATAGGGATTGATAACATATACAGACTGAAACTTCCCAATCATTATTTACCAGTCTTCATTGATTTTAATATCGTTTATACGGTCTTATGAGGAGTACTTATTTTCTACTTTGCAACTTCTTTCCCAGAGGTGCAACGTCACAATCGCTTTTGCCATGGCAGATGTTCAGATGAACGCTATTCTTCAGTTCTACCAGTTCCGACCTTTACCATTAAGACATATTAAAACTAAAAAGTTGGCTGTTTCAATATAATTCCATTATTATGAAATTTATATTCCCTAAAGGATTATTTAAATACAGGGTGTCCATAAAGTTCGTATGCACTATAAAAAATTATAACTTTATTTATATTTGCGATAGAAATAATTTGTAAAAAGGATTAGAAAGAAGTAAATCTATATTTTCTAAAGGTTTTATTGAAATTTTATTTAAGTTTCCACATGTCCTCCATTATTAGCAATACAAAGAGTAATAGGATTTTGCAGTTCACAGAAAACATTTGCCAACTGATTTACAGTCATGCCTGAAATCACATTAGTTATTTTAGCTATACTTAAAACTAGGTACATTAAACTTTATAACATTTTTACAAATTATTTCTATCGCAAATACAAATAAAGTTATAAATTTTTTAAAGTGCACACGAACTTTATGGAAATCCTGTATTATAACTTTCGTAATGTTTTCTGCCATAGTACACATTTCAAAGTTGAAATCTGATTGCCGTATATGAGTAGCATTTTTTTTTTATGTAGGATATAAATATAATATTTGATAAGAATTCAACAGCTTTATCAAACACTATGACACTGATGAACTGTGTATCAATGAAGGGGTGCAACCGGATGAAGTCCGTGCGATGCAATAGGTAAAGGAGTAGTGTAGCTAAGGTAGTGAATCGATGAAATGTGGACAGCATTTAGCATCGTTTAACCGTGAAATAATTGTTAGGACCAGAATGATGGTAACTATTCTAGTTTTGTTGTTATTTACCAAGTCCAGTTTTGGTATAAAGTGTCAGGTTCGTTGGGAAGATCGAACTCACTGCTCTGTAGTGATAGTTACCGAAACTAATTTGATAACGATTACCCTACGCCAAGGCCTCCAAGATTGAAACTACAACGCAAGCGGCGATTCCGTGCCTCGAACCCGGAAACACTCGCATGCTAAGCGAGTTATCTACGAACTGGACCAATTAGTTTGGGTACAAGAACACCAATATTGCGCACCTAGAGAGGATAAAACTTACTAATCTGTAATAATGACTGACAGGACTATCTCGCTAAACATCATCACGTGACGAAATACCTGATATAGTTTGTTTACGGCAGAGTGTAATCTCAAGATTTATTTATCTTTAATTCGTTCTACAATGATTTTTATGCATGTCATTCTGAAATTGCTCAATCCTTCTTTCGAGGTTTGTGTTGGTTTCTTGAAAAATAACATTGAATGGGCAACAAAAACAAACTGAGTTTGTCTCATGTTCTCACAATGCCAATAAAACGAATCATTTCCAGGATCGAAACACACTGAAAAGGGTTACCTGAATAGAAGTCATTAACTACGACCTTTTAGAAAGAGAGAAATCTTTAGATACGCACACAAAATCACATTAAATTTTCATTTATACTACCCCCCATCAGCGACTTAACAGCTGCACGCCGTCGGAGACAAACCGACAAACGAATCCTACCCGCATTTCTATACTTGTATATTTTCTCATAAATATATGCATCAGTTGTTACTAAGACAGAGAATGCATATTTACACGCAAACTCCGATGTAGAACCATGGAGGCAATTTCAGGGGAAATACACAGGCAGCTTATATAACAAAAATAGTTTACACGGACATGCAAAAACAAATCACATTGAAACATTTGATCCGATTTACAAAGGAAGGAAAATTTGAAAATTGTCTATAAAATATACACAGTCATAGTATCTTATATATATATATATATATATATATATATATATATATATATATATATATATATATATATTGTTTCACACATTCATATATATATATATATATGTGAATAAAAAGAAAGAACAGTAAGATATATAATCAGGTGTTCTTATAGATATTTTTATTTTTACAAAATAGTGCTCAATGTAAATTTACAGAGCATTAATATTATAAATTAATTGATTTAAAAAATATGTTTTTTTACACAGTTCTAACCATGTTTCAAAAATGGAAGCTATGTTCCATTTCATCTTCAAGCGAAAATTCGCTTAAGGGTGAAATGGAATTAACGTCTTTAATTTAATTACAAAATTAAATTCGGGGCATTTAGCTTCCATTTTGAAACATGGTTAGAACTGTGTAGCGAAAAAAACATATTTTAAATCAATTAATTTATATATATATATATATATATATATATATATATATATATATATATATATATATATATATGTGTGTGTGTGTGTGTATATATATATCTTGTTTCACATATTCATATATATATATATATATATGTGTGTGTGTGTGTGTATGTATATATATCTTGTTTCACATATTCATATATATATATATATATATATATATATATATATATGTGTGTGTGTTTATATGTATATATATCTTGTTTCACATATTCATATATATATATATATATATATATATATATATATATATATATATATATATATATATATATGTATACAGGTAAGATGACAACGAATAGAGTACAATTCCAATGTTCGTATTATTTAATTTAAAAGACGGCTCAATAGAAAGTAGAGCAATATTCTTTATTTTAGGATATTACACAGAAAAAATATCTTTGTGATTTATTTGAAAATATTACATCGAAAACAATGTCAACATCGCTACACAATAGCAGTCGTGTTTCGACGCATTTCACCAGGCGATTGTAATTAACAATTGCCAGATGAGATGCGTTATATGCTCATCGAAACACGGAACATGACTGCAATTGTGTAGCGATTTTGACATGTTTTCGATATAATATCCTAAAATAAAGTGTATATATATATATATATCTATATATATATATATATATATATATATATATATATATATATATTTATATATATGGTTCCTGTGGCCTAACTAGTAGTTCACCCTTTACCTAAAGGAAAGATTTCCAGCATCAAACAAAGAGAATATAGATTTGATTCCTGTGTCGGAGAACATTTATGGTTTTATCAAGGATTTTCAATTTTAATAACAATAACCTTTTTACACAAACATGGTTACTCACTGAAAATATCATTTATACTAATAAGATATATATATATATATATATATATATATATATATATATATATATATATATATATAATGAAAAAACAGACCACTTTTTAAGCTTCACAGTGTTAGGGATCTGTCTTATAATTGCCATAGGTTTTTTCATTAAATATTAGATCTGTATTCACATTGAGCTCTCAGGATTTCATCCTCCTTGAATTACCCATTCGGTTTACCAAGTTCTTCGTAACTTAGAGATATATATATATATATATATATATATATATATATATATGAAGCGTGTGAGATTTCAGAAGTCAACTCCTTGTTTATCATTTTCATCACCTAATTTTGAACATTCGATAAATATAGGCAAAAAAGCGATGATAAGACATTAGAGACATCCTGGGAGTGTTGAGATTTTCATTCATGAAGATTTCGGTATGTAGAAGTTATCAATCAAAACGTTTCAATGCTATTCATCAGAAAAAATATCGAATGGACACCTCTAAGTTGATTTTGCAGCATAGTCTAGAGTTAATTTTTGATGGGCCATGGACACACTGCTATGGTCCGGAGATTAAACAATACTCCATGCAGTGGAGGAATTTGGTGTCTCCACGGTTGATTAAATTCGACTCTCAACTCAGAAAGAAAAGTCCTGACCATGTTTTTTTTTTTTAGGAAACGAAAGGTATTATGATGAATGATTATCTTGAAAAGGGTAAAAACGTTAATGAAATCCTAGTGCCTAGTGGGTTGTTGAAAGAAAAAAGGGGAATGAAACTTGCAAAAAATTATTCTTATTTGAACATTATTTTATTCTGAATTAATTAAATTTGTAACAAGAGAAATAATATGAAAAAATTAAAACAAGTCAAAACAACTGTAATCTATATATAAAATTAAGCGACTTCCGTTCGTCCGTCACACCCTTTAAAATAACCATACATTGACAGATCGAAATTAAATTTTGGGGAGAATGCAAACAGGTAAGGGGGCACAAAGTGAAGTTGGTTTTACTAGGATGCGCCGTAAAATAAATTTTCATTAATCTGTTTAGGAAAATAAAAAGTTTTTTTTTATTTAACATAAAAATACTCCGTCTATATTTCTAAGATGAGGTATTGTAATTTGAACAATCTATCCAGATGGACGAAATAAAGGGTTCAGTCCGAAATTTCAATCACCTGAAGAAGCCTGGAGCGTACTACGACCGAAACGTCGTGAATATGGCAATAAAGATGGGGATAAAAATCAATTTAAAGTAAAAAATACTTCCATTATAAAAACAATTTAATGATTAAAATATCAAATATTTATTGAATAAAAATGCAATATTGTTTTTTGCATATCTTTTCTTTAAGTTTTATATACAAGAATCCAGTTTCTTAGCTTGTCCTGCTTTTGCGAGAAGTATAAACAAATCACAAACGCTTCAAAAAGTTAGAATTTGGCTCAAGAAAGAAATATTTACGCACGGCCCGTTGTATATTGAATGCTCAAGAGTAAGAAATCCTAAGAATTTATTCTTCGCTATTAAAAAGGAAAAGTAGGTTTTTTGACAAATATTTTTGTAAAGAAATTAGCTTATTGAAATTTCATCGAATGGTTTGCTAAATTGAACGAAACGTAGAGTTTGTAAATCTCGACAAAAATGATAACGATAACTTCAAAATTACTAAATACTGCGAGGATTAAAAAAAATTATAGTTTTCAAAATGTCTCACCTCGAAAGGAAAAGTATTGCTATTCGTAGGTAGCCGAGAGTATAGCTGAATTGAAAGAAGAATGCGTTAACAGATTACTGATTAAAATTAATTACAATTTTTGATAGCATAATTGGTTAAGTTGTCGAACATGAAAGATGAATTTCAAAGCCGCTTCTTTATTCCGAATCATGATTTTTTAGTTTAACGGTCGATTGACAAATAAACGTTGTGATAAAAAGCAACAAAAACAGTTGAATATAAGTTTGTCAAAATATAAAACTGCCTCATATTAAAAACAACTTCAGAATATCTTGAACTAAAAGGGACAGGTGCTCTTGAATCTTGAACCATCGTCGTCTACTCAAATCATTATAAATAGTAACAATCTAAAGGAAAATGTCTCTTAGAAAACACTTACTTTCTTGAAGGTTTTCTCCACAATGTTATTATTATAAATAAACATGTATATAAGTTACCTTTCTCTTTTCGGTAGTATCTCAGATATATATATATATATATATATATATATATATATATATATATATATATATATATAAGCTAACGCTTGTTCTACCTCCTCTCTCTCACTCACTCTGAGGCTTCGGTACGCTAGCATGCCTTGGTGAGCATATCGGTAGCGATTTGCTTCCGGCAACAGTAACAACTGTTCAAAACTGAAGTGCCCGGTTTCCGTTTCTAGATGATTGGTAATAAACAATCTTCTGAAAACTCGCCATTATCATGTTCAGTGAAGCACACTTAGTGCAGTGAGATATATATATATATATATATATATATATATATACATATAATGTGTGTGTGTGTGTGTGAGTGTAAATAAATAGAAACAAAAACAGAAACATTAAATGAAACGCTAAAAACAACTCGTGGGCACATGAAAAAGCGGAAGAGTTATAAATAGGAGTTTAAAAAAAGAAGAAGAAGAAGAATATTTAAAAGTGAGAGTGTGTGTGTGTGTGTGTGTGTGTATGTGTGTGTGTGTGTGAGAGAAAGAGAGAGACTAAGGCTGTTATTCACTCTCAATTGATTATTAGCACAATAAAATATGAAAATCTGCAGGTATAAATGTGCATTATTTGCTGGCTGCCAATAAAGGCCCACGCGATTGCCAGGAAATTCAAATAATAGACTCGACCGTTTGATGGAAGCGTTGTAATTCTCAAACAGACAAGAAGATCATTGGACAGGTGAAGTGCAACCATTGATAATGAAGGCGGAGACATCAACCCACCACACGCACCACAAATGAAGTGGTCTAAATCATATCTATATCTAATATTCTTGTCTGGAAGGAATATATTTTAAAAAGTTTGATACTGTGATATATACAACCTCTGCATCAGGTGTTCATTATATCTATCTATCTATCTATCTATCTATCTATTGATATTTATCAATTCATATCTATCTATTGATATCTTTATATATATCTATCTATTCAGATCTATCTATTCAGATCTATCTCTCTATCTATATCTATTCAGATCTATCTATATCTATCTATTCATATCTATCTATATCTATCTATTCATATCTATCTATCTATCTATATATTTTCATATCTATCTATTCATAACTGTCTATATGTCTATCCATATTCATCTTTTTCTATGTATATCTATGGATCTATTAATATCTATCTATCTATCTATCTATCTATCAATTCATATCTATCTATCTAATCATATCTATCTATCTATTCATATCTAACTCTCTATCAATTCATATCTATCTATCTAATCATATCTATCTATCTATCTATCTATCTATATCTATCTATCTATCAATTCATATCTATCTATCAATTCATATCTATCTATCTAATCATATCTATCTATCTATTCATATCTAACTCTCTATCAATTCATATCTATCTATCTAATCATATCTAACTCTCTATCAATTCATATCTATCTATCTAATCATATCTATCTATATATCTATATCTATCTATCTATCAATTCATATCTATCTATCTAATCATATCTATCTATATCTATCTATCTATCTATCTATCAATTCATATCTATCTATCTAATCATATCTATCTATCTATCTATCTATATCTATCTATCTATCAATTCATATCTATCTAATCATATCTATCTATTCATATCTAACTCTCTATCAATTCATATCTATCTATCTAATCATATCTATCTATCTATCTATCTATCTATCTATCTATCTATCTATCTATCTATCTATCACTTCATATCTATCTATTTTTCTATCTATCTTATCATAGATATCTATCTCCATATGTCTATTTAGATATCTTTCTATGTATATCTATATAAATGTTAATATCTATCTGTTCATATCTATCTATTCATATCTTTCTATCTATATCCTTTTTTTAAATAGATTTCGCCCCAAGCAAGGCAACAAAGCCACTAAGATGTAAGGGTAGAAAGAGAAACAATACGAATGTTCGAAAACAAAAGCAGAACAATCAGGAGCACAGTAGATATCGACCGACATTGCATTTAAATATTTGAAGATTAAAGTTGGCTGGAAAGCATGAAGCGGGAAGGGGGTTCCACATGTGAGATATGCGAGAAAAGAAACTGTTAGCATAGAATTTACGGCTAGATCTATCCAGCTCAACTGTAAACTGAAATTTCGACGCCCGTCTAGTACTACGCTTAAATTCATAAAGTCTCGGTACCATAGCATAGAAAAGGCCACAGGGAGGCAACCATACGACGGTGCGAAGTGATTGAAGCCGAATTTGGATTTTATCAAGGAGCTCCAGATAATTAGCAGTATCAACGAGACATATGTGGCAGCAATATTCTAAGAATGGACGAATAGTAGACTTATAGATATGCAAGATAGATTCTGGAAAGAAAAATTGTCTCGTCGCTGTGAATCAGCATTTTTAGCAGTCGACCTAGCAATGGATTCAATATAGTCTTTCCACTTCACTTCAGCCTAGAACGTTAACCTGAGAAAAGGCAACGCGTCATATTACTGGGGGTTAACATCAGCCATATACTGATGGAAGACAGAGTGAAGCTCTCTAAGATGATTTATAAAAAGAAGTTTAGTTTTGGAGACGTTAAAATATATTGATACAAAATTAATGTCAGAACTTCAGAAAATAAATCTATCTCTGTTAATATTTATCGCAGTCTCTTCGCATCTCTTACCCTAGTCTGGCCATATCTATATGTGGATGTGCGGTTGGTGTAATGGATAGCGACTCGAAATGAGAAACCGGAAAGCCGGGTTCGTTACATTCACTTACGAGTAAACACTCTTGGGAAATATCTGAATCCATCTCCTCCCTACTGCCGGTTAAATTGTAGGAATTGTATCTGGAGAAATAATAGCTATTCTAAAAAACTGTTAACGAAATATTCAATTGCAAATGAAGAATAATTTTTTCAATCCAAAATATGTTTGCGTATTAAAAATCCACAAATATTTGATATACACTGAGAAAAAATCAATTAATGAATTTATCTACCTTCGTATCTACGATGTACCTCAGACTGTTAGCATCTATCTATCTATCTATCTATCTATCTATCTATCTATCTATCTATTATTAGCTACCGACCTTAGTCTGCAAGCATCTATTATGTAAGTCTATCAATTATATATAGTATTTTTGATACCAATCTAGCGATCAAGCTACATAGAACTTTTGATATCTATCTATCTATCTATCTATCTATCTATCTATCTATCTATCTATCTATCTATCTCCATGTCAGTAATAATGATTGTCGTATTGTATAAATCAGAACATCCATTTATGAATCTATAAGGACATATGTACCAGGGGATGAATAATATTTTATAGTCATCCGTATTTCTCTTTTATTTCAGCTGAAAATGGGAAAAATTATGAATTATATCATATTTATATACTTATATATATTTGCAATAAAGCTTTGTTATTTTCACACACACACACACACACACACACACACACACACACACACACACACACACACACACACACAAATATATATATAAAGCCTGCCAGGTGCCGGAATGAAAAGCCCAATAGAAAAAAAATTACTAAAAACAAAAATCAAGAAAAGCTCTATAAGAACTGAAAAATAAATAAAATACGAAAAAAGTAAAAAAGACCAAAAGACAGACACCTACCTTAACAGTAACCAAAAAGGGCTCTATGCCTGGCATATTAGGATAAAGTAAAAACGTTCGGTTGCTTATATATATATATATATATATGAGGCGTGCGATGCGTAAATTTTTAATTTCGCGCATGCGCGTTGTTTTTAATTTTGTTCGATTGCACAGTATAGTAGGGTCAGTTGGGCACCGTCTGTGCGAACAAGAGCATCATGACCCAATTCACTCGGTCAGAAATTTTGAAACGACATGCTGCACTGCCTAACATTCCTGCTGTAAACTCCAATACGAATATTTAAGTTTGGGTGTCAATCTGAGGACAGTGCAGAGTATTCAGAAAAAGTTGGCTGAGTCTAATGGCGATTACGGAGCTGTTAGGAGTGATCACTGGTGATGGCGAAATTATACCTCCATACGTCTTCCTACAGGGCCTCAAACTCAAAGGCCTACATCATGTGCCTTAAGGAGGTAGTGATGAGCTGCGTCAAGCGGGCCTTCTGCCGGAAGAGCCTATGTCTGGCAAATGGACTCTGCACCATGCTACACAAATAGGAGAACCTAGTCATGGCTGTCAGAAATTTCTGCAACCAGATCACCCTTTACATCTGGCCACCTAAATCCTCAGACTGCAGCCTCCTTGATTATTATGTTCCTTGTTCTAAGGTTTCGTCTCACATGAGCCATATTCAGAGTGGTTGAATGGACATTTAAATAAAGATATTCATTATCAAAGATGATATTCCGTTATGTTGACATAGAAGATTGCTATGCGACGATAACGGCCGCAGAATAGCAGACGCAGGTCGTAAATTCGCGAATGCAGTTCTATGACGTCGTACCACGCGAGAGGCCGAAATATTAACAACAGAACCATATGTCTAGATGCAGCCTAATGCGCTGTAACTAGTTTGAAATGTAATTTTGTTGAGTGTGGTTTGGTTTTTATTTTTCCTTTTAATGTAGATGGCCTCCAGTATCTGAAGGTTCTTTTTACTGTGTGTAGGTGTGAGTATTGTTGTGTTATCGACTAACATCTGTTTAATATTATCTACATGTCTATGGTTTCCTAAAAAATTTTTTAATAGATCTAAGATCAGAAAGGTGACAGTTAAGTCTACAGGAGGGCGTGGTTGTAGTAAAACCAATATATGTAATGGCTTTATTATTACTATCAGAGATACAATCTCTGAACGGGCATGTAAATTAATACACTACATTGATTTTTGTAGAGGATTTAGTTGTGTGATTGTAGGGTTATTAGAGACTATGAAATTAATTGATTTAAATTTTTTATATGATGAACTTAACTTTTTTTTAATGATTAATGGGTTTAACATTTCTACCTATTATGTTTTTGTGTGTTGTTTCATCATTGCAATTATTATGCATTTGGTTACAATAAAATAAGTTAGTAGTATTATGTTTATTTTGACATACACTATTATTATTAATATTATCAATTTTGTTAGTAGTATTACTAAGTTTATTGAGTTACATTTTAATTTGTTGATCAATGACGGAATTAGGAAATCCATTATTAACAAGTGTTTGTTTAATGTTATGTAATTCTTTATAGAATTCTGATTTTGGAAGAAATATCATTTGTGTTTGTTTGATTAAGGTTTTTTATAATATCTAACTTATATCATTGGGGGCATTCACTATTATAATTAAGAAGATATGAGTTAATGCTAGTGAGTTTCCTATATAGAGAAGTAGTAAATTTATTTGTTGTAATCAATAAATAAATCAAGGAATGGGATTTTATTATTAAGTCCAAGTTCTAGTGTAAATTTGAGGACGCAGTGACTTTCAAATTTGTTTTTAAGTTGTGTAATTTGATCAATATGTTTTGCTAAAACAAAAATGTCATCTATGTATCTTACATATATAGGGTGTTTATTAGTGTCATTAAGTATTTTATTTTCTAAATGTGTCATATAATAATTAGAGAAAAACTGGGCTTAAAGGAATTCCCATTTCAATACCATCTATTTGAGAATAAATATTACCTAGGGGGTCATGAAAAGGTACTTGAGTGGTATATGTTAATAATATATTTTTTTTTTAAATAGAGGGTTTAATATTGATGGGGGAGAGAGTAGTGTGATTGTATACATCGTGGATAATGACGTCAATAGTTTCATGAACGGAAACATTAGTAAATAAATTTTGTACATTCAAGGATGCGATTATTTGGCTGTTTGGTTTTACAGCATTTACGACCTGTGTCTGCTATTCCGCGACCGTTATCGTCACATAGCAATCTTCTACGTCATCATAACAGGATATCATTTTTGATGGTTAATATCTTTGTTTAAATGACCATATAAGCACTCTGAAGATCGCTCACGTGAGCCGAAAGCTGAGATCAAGGAACAGCATAATAAAAAATATCCAAATGTTAGACAATTTTTTTCTCCATTTTCACCCGAAATTAAGACAATTATACGAAGTTTAGAACGGCTACTGATCAAACATAATAGACATTCGTTGTCAGTTATATTTAACAATACATGTCTGTATATATATATATATATATATATATATATATATATATATATATATAGATAGATAGATAGATAGATAGATAATAT